GCCTGACCTCCGGCCGCCATCCCCGCAGGGCTCTGGTCCTTCCTGTGGTTCGTGGGCTTCTGCTTCCTCACCAACCAGTGGCAGCGCACGGCCCCCGGGCCCGGCACCGCGCAGGCGGGGGACGCCGCGCGCGCCGCCATCGCCTTCAGCTTCTTCTCCATCCTCAGCTGGGTGAGTGTGGGCCCCGAGGGCGGCCTGGGGGCGGGAGATGCCCGACCGGCCGCCGCTGACCCCGGCTCCCTGCCCAGGTGGCGCTGACCGTGAAGGCCCTGCAGCGGTTCCGCCTGGGCACCGACATGTCGCTCTTCGCCACCGATCAGCTGGGCGCCGGGGCGGCCCAGGCCTACCCTGGCTACCCGGTGGGCAGCGGTGTGGAGGGCACCGAGACCTACCAGAGCCCACCCTTCACCGAGACCCTGGATACCAGCCCCAAAGGGTACCAGGTGCCTGCCTACTAGTGGTTGGCAGGCTGGGGCCAGGGCTGAACGGCCACCCCACCATCGCGGGCCTCAAGGCCTCTGTCCGGTCCTCCCTGCCAGCGTCAGGGACAGAGAAAGTGGCCATTGTGGGCTTCTGGGGCCTAAGACAGGGCAGCCTCCCCGAGGTGCCCGGGCCCTTCAAGTTCAGTCTGCCCCAGGCCTGAGGCCCTGAGCAGGACAGCTTGGCCTCCAGTGGACTGGCCCGGGAGAGGTCAGCCATCCTGGGACTCGCTTGTCCACTCACGAGCAGAAGTCCGGCCGCACCCCTGTGGCTGGGCGCAGGGGCTGCCTGGGACTAGAATGGGGACACTAACCCCACCCAGCAATCGTTCCCTATCATGTGTCTGTGGGCTGTGGCTGTCCTTGATCCTGTCATGTGGTTCCTCCATTTCTTCTTAAAGGTTTTCGAGAGCAGCTGGGCCTGTCAGTGTTGTGATTGTGGTCAAATCTCCAGGTCTCATCTCCTAGTGCTCTGCAAGCTGCCTCTTTCTCCCTCCCTCTCTCCCTCCCTCTCTTTCTCTCTCTCTTTCTCGCTAGTGCCCAGGTGTGGGTAGTTCTGACCAGGAAGGCACAGACAGGCCTGAGCACCAGCCCTTCAGTAAGACCTTGCCCAGGGGAGGAGGGGGAACACGTGAGTACCGGAAGCCAAGCCCCAGAGGCCTCTCACAGGAGAGGCCTAGGCCCATTCCATCTATCCATGGTGCCCCTGGAGACCACCATTCCTACAAACTGCTTTATCTTGGCTTTGTGGACTAGTCCTTCCCTCCCTCCCCAGTACTGTTTTAAGGCCCAGCCCCTGGTGGGGGTCCTTGTAAGTAGTTGAATACTCATGCATTGCTTGAAGCTGGCTTTTCACATTAAGTCGAAAGCAAACACATTGCCATATTTCATTCTTGCAGACAAGATGCCTCCCTCTGGAGTTGCAGTGGACTGACAGCCCTGTACATTGTAGCATAGGTCAATATGTGGATGTTTAAGTGGACATGTTTACAATTTTTGTATGTGTAGATCTCCCCTCCCTCTTCTGAAAAAAACAAATCTGTGATTGTTTCTCCAGTGTCCTGTTTCGACGCAGCTTCTTTACAATAAAGACTGTGTGTTGACCACATGTGGCCACTCTTACAATCATTTCTGCCCTTCCCCTGCCTGGTGCCCGGGGCTCCTCCTCTTCCTCCTATTGCTTAGAATTCCCTAGTATAGATCTACACAGCAGTTTAGCGATTCACCCCGTGAAGGGAATCTGGGTTGCTTCCAGTTGGGGGAGATTACATATACAACTATTATGTCACTCACAGAGAGGTTTTTGCTTGAATGAACATAAGTTTTATTTCTCTGGGATAAGTGCCCAAAAGCACAATTGCCGGGTTGTACAGTAAGTGCACATTTAGTTTTAAAAGAAATGGCAAACTGTTTTCCAGAATGTTTAACTCCTTGAATAATTGATGTTCACTGTACAGAATGGCCTTTATTTAATGCAATAGATCTCTCTTCCCGGACCCCAGGCACTGCCCACAGTGCTGGGGCTTTGTGTATCTTGCCAGAGACACCTGTGTGTATATCAAGCAGAACTTTCGAGCAAACTCCCTTTCCTTAATGTTAACATTCAGTGTTTTTTTGTTTTTGCTTTTTTTTTGGTCCTGAGACCTGAACTTTAGGCTTGGGCACTGTTTCTCAGCTCTTCAGCTCAAGGCTAGCACTCTACCATTTGAGCCACAGCACCACTCCTGGCTTTTTTCCTTTTGCTTATATGGTGCTGAGGAATCGAACCCAGGGCCTCAGGCATGCAAGGCAAGCACTCTACCACTGAGCCACATTCCCAGCCCTGAAATGGGTATTTCTTGAAGTGAGATTTGAGTGCTCAATCAAGCATGGCCATGTCTGTTCCTGGAACACTGGGCAATGCCAGGCCACCAACAGGGGTCCTGGGACCTGAGGCTGATGGCCCCTTCCTGAGAGCAGACCCCACCCACCTAGCTTCCTGGCAAGCTGCCTGCTGGCAAGCCCATGCTGCCGCATCTGAGGAGCTCAGGCGTCCCAGTGGCCAGGGGATGGGGTGGGTGGTCACTCAGAGAGCAGACAAGCACAGGACAATGGCTATGTGCAGTACTGCAAAATAAATTTATTTGAAGATAAACTGTCTTATAAAATGTCAGAGGCAATGTGAGACCCCAGATACAGCTTGTCTCATAAAAAGATTCAACTTCAAGTAGCACAATTTTGTGTCTGGTTTAATCTGGACCATTCTGAATTATCAAAGAGCCAACTGCTTACACAACACGCTCAACCTGTGACTCCAGCACCAGTGGGCCTGTGGCTCTGAGCTCTGGGGCTGCGGGCTCGAGGCCAGGCACCCACTGTGGGCCCTGGGCCTGACCCCAGGCTCCCATCCCCGCACCCTGCTCTTTCCCTCCCCTGGCACCTTACAAAACACGAAAAAGCACACAACAGTGCCCACTACTGAGCAGAGGACGGGACCTCTGGGTGTGCACGTGGCACACGGCAGCCCTTCCTGGTGACTGCTGGCGGCCTGGCCAGCCAATGGGCCTGAGCAACAGCCTCACGGGAGCCCTGCCTAGCTGCACGGCAGCTGGGAGGAGGAAGAGGTAGACGCAGGGTGCGAGCCCTGGCCCTCACTGGCAGCAGCAGCTACGTGATGATCCTGGCAATGGCTTGGAGAGAGGGAAAGTCATCGTCGCGGGCTGCATGCAGCGCCTGGTGGTTCTTGACGTCACCATGCGCGAGCACCTGCTGACAGGTGGGGCACACACAGTAGTCCAGGCCGGCCTGCGGGGCGCTGGCCTGCCACGCGCTCCTCTTGTTCTTCTTGGCTTTGGCGCCCACGGGCTTCTCATGACTGCGAAAGTCGGCGTGTGCGCACAGCAGCTCCTGCTGTTTGGCCGTGTCCGGCAGCAGCACCAGCAGCTCGCTGAAGATCTTCTGGAAGTTCTCCCCGAGCAGGTCCCGGCAGCTCTTATAGTACTGTGCTGCAGAGACCATCCCCTGGTGCCAGAAAGCCATGCCAGTCACTCCCGGCCTGGGCCCAACAGGCCGTCCTCCCGGCCCTGGTCCGCCTGGCCCCACTCACCTGTCGGAACTCTCCCGAGTGGCTCTTGAACTTGCTGAAGCGGGCCTCATCGCTCTGCAGGAAGTCTTTGATGGACTGGATGAGCTGTAGGTTCCTTTCCCGGAAGTTCTCGGGCACCAGGTAGGCCTGGGGTGTTGTGGGTGGCAGCCTGGGTCTGGGGTCAGATGGCGACGATGAGGCTGCCGCATTTCAGGTGGCTGGAGAGGGTGGCGCCCTCTGCCAAGCCCCCTGGTGAGCCTGGCACCCGCCTCACTTACGCTTTGGCGGTGGTGGTGGGGCTGGGGGCACAGGGTGTCTGGGAGCCGGGCAGGAGGCTGGAGAAGCCGGGTGGTGGCTTGCTGGCAGGAGGCACCAGGCCTGGCGGTGGCAGTGTGCCCTTCAGGAGCACAGCGGTGTTGAAGCCTGGGGCGGGTGGAAGGATCTGAGCAGGCTGGCCTAGGCCCCCAGGCTGCCTGCCCCTGCCAGCCTGTCCACAGGCTGGGGCAGCCTGGCTTGCCTGACAAGGTGCACTGGACGGGTCAGGGGAGGGCGCAGCATTACGCGAGGTGAAGATGCTCCCTGCCTTCCAGCTGTTCCCAGGCCGCCCCAAGCCCACCGCGGTGGCCCTGCCCCGCGCCCCGGCGCTGCCATCTCTGGGCTCCAACCTGACGCCACCACCCCAGCCCTTCTTGCTTGGAGCGCCGCCAGCATACCTGGCGGGGGAGGCATCCTCGGGGGTGGGCAGGGGCCTCCAAGTGCCGGGAAGTCTTGGCGGGGTGAGCAGGGGAGGGGCCCCACAGGCCTTGGGAGCCCAGGGGGCTCCTTGGGGATGCTCTTTGCCAGGACCATCCCCTCCGTGTGTCCATTAACGACGACGCCTACTGGTGGCCCCTCTGTTCCGCCTGGAGGGGCTTCAGGGGCCTGCTCTGCCCCAAGGGGCTTTGGGGTACGGTTGGGAGGTAGCGGTGGGGGCGATGGAGCCTTGAGCTTCTCGGAGCCCACCTTCTTCTTCCTGCCAACCTTCACGGTGCTGGGAGTGGCCGCGGGCGGCGGCAGGGCGGGGGGCGCAGTGCGCTCGGGCGCAGCGAGGCCGCCCCGCTCCTCCGCCTCCACGGGGGGCGGGCCGCCCTTGCGCCCACCCCTGCCCCCCTTTCCTGCCTTCCTCGGGAGGTGGGCGCCCCCACCCACAGCTTGGACCGCTGGGGGGGGCGGGGCCCCCTTTTTGCTACAGCTGTTGTTCCAGGCAGAGGCAAGGCTGGGGGGCCCGGAGCTGGGCTTAGACGAGGAGGACACGAGGGCAGGGAAGTCTTCCTCCTGGAAGGTGCTCCTGCCCCGCGCGGGGCCGGGGTACGCCAGCGCCAGCCCCACCGTGCCCGGGGTGCCTGCTGCGGGGCAGGAGGAAGCGGAGGCACAGAGACTGGGGAAGTCTTCATCCTTGAGTTTTGGGGTGGGCAGCGGGAGGGCGCTAGGTCAGGGGAGAGCAGAGCTGGTCAGCGACACGCCAGGCGCTGGCCAGCGCCCCACACAGGTGCCCCCCCCCGCGGGCACACACCTGGGAACGCCGGCCACGGCGCTGGGGCCTGCGGCCGGGAAGGCTTCCTGACTCACAGGCCCGTTTGCTGAGGTTTCTTTAGGGCCTAGGAGACCAGAGGCACCATCAGGCCGCGGGGATGGGCTTGGGGAGAGCGCAGGGGACGGGTCCCGGGCATGCTGCCGGGCCTGGGCTGCCCGCTCTCCGCCCTCCCCTCAAGGCCTGGCTCACCTGGGCCTTCTCCCTGAGGCCGGGGCAGGCGTCGGGAGCCTCGGGGCTCCTCAGGGGCCCGGGCTGTCGCTTCCTCCTTCTTGGACCTGCCACCCTCCTCTCGACCCTCACTCCTCCGAGGGTCCTCCTGCTGCTGGGCGGCCACCGAGGCCCGGATGGCAGCAGCCACCTCTCGGTCCTCTTCTTCCCTGGGGGGAAGGAGGGGAGGCTTCAGACTGTGAGACAGGCCAGCCTGGCACATCTGTGCGTCCAGGGCTTTCCGTCCCAGCCTCGGCGCTGACACGGGCTGCGTCACCGCCCCCTCCCCTGGGCATGGCGTCCCCGGCTTCCACCAGGGAAGGGCCAGAACGTTTTGCTCACTAAGGACACACAGCAGATCCTGTTGGCACCCCAAGATCCTGAGCCCCTGCCCATGTCCTTTCCCAGCGCAGCTGGTGGCCGTGCCACCGCTGGCGGGTAGCACCAAAAGAACGTCAGCGGCGCGCGTGCGGGTGGGCCCACCTCTTGTACCTCCAGCTTCCTCGGCGGCTCTGCTGGGCGCCGCGCCCGCTGGCCCGGCCCGCGCGGCCCTGGCGGCTGTACCTGTCCACCTCCTCGTAGTCCTCGCCACTGACGACCCCTGCATCGGCACACAGCCCGTCACCCGCCCCGGCCTCGAAGGGCCGCAGGCTGCACGAAGGGCCGTGCGCCCGCAGCCCCTGGCTGTGGGCACACACCAGCGGTGACTCGACGACCTGCGGCCGAGTCAGAGGCGCAGCGGAGCGGCGCTCAGCTTCCGGATGCAGAGAGCCCCATAATTCCAGGCCAAGACGCTGAGAAGCAGGCGGGAGGGGGCTCCCGGCGCCCACAGGCGCGCAGTGCCGGGGCGCAGGCGGGGCAGCTCCTCCCCGCGGGGCCCGAGATCTCCAGGGACCCCGCACACCACCCGGGAGCCAGGCCAGGCCGGGCAGAGCCCACCGATCGCTCGCTCACCCTCACTGCGGCGGGAGTGCCGCGGCGCGAAGCTGAACTGCAGGTCAATCTGGCGGTTCTGGCGCGCCTCCGCGCGGCTGCGGCTGTGGCAGGCCGTCTTGTGCGCCTTGAGGTCGATCTCCGTGCGGAAGGCGTGGGTGAACTGCTCCGTGCTGCAGCGGCCCTCCTCACACAGGAAGTGCTTCTCCCGGAAGTGCTCGCGCAGGTACGTGTAGTCACTGAGGGAGTTGGGTGTCACGGGGTGTCTGGAGGGTCACCTCGCCCGCCCCGCCGGGCCCCGCCCACCTGTAGCAGTCCTGGCCCCGCCCACCTGTAGCAGTCCTGCGCCCCGCCGGCCCCGCCCACCTGTAGCAGTCCTGCGCCCCGCCGGCCCCCGCCCCCCTGAGCAGTCCTGCGCCCCCCCCCCCCCGGCC